CAAAATAAAGTGTTAGTAGATATTAAGCAGACAGTCTACTAATACTCTAAAGACTGCTAGTTGACATGTAGCTGCAAAGTTATTTATACGTAGGTATAGGTTATAAAACAAAAGTGTTTCACTGAAAAAAATAACAACATAAAGTGTTATTTAAAGGGGTCCTATTATGCTTTTTCACTTTTTCAACTTTAGTTTGTCTCTAATGTTGCTGTTTGAGCATAAAAAAGATCTGCACAGCTACAAAGCTCAAAGTCCACTTCAAAAGGAGATATTTTATTTAACAGAAATCACTTTCAAAAGCTACAACGAACGACTCGTTTGGACTACAACGCATATTTTCTGGGATTTGTGATATCACAAATATCGACGAATGGGACGAGACCTGGTTGAGCTGCACTAGAGAAGGCAACGAGTGTTATCACTATGTCGGAGACACGCTAGCTTTCCCAAGGCAGACAAACTTAGAGTGGTTACAATCATCGGGGTTTAAATCGCGCTCAAATTGATTTGATATTGACGCAATATTTACACTGAAGCTCGCAGGCGGCTATGGTAAGGGGCATGACATTTCCTGACCAGGCGCCGAGTGCTGCCAATCACAACACACACTGGCCCAGCTAACCAATCACAGCACACACTGGCCCAGCTAACCAATCACAACACACACTGGCCCCGCTAACCAATCACAGCACATTTCGTGTTTTAGAAGGCGGACTTTCATTTGATACAGGAACTATTCGAGCCGTTCATGCCAGACTGGGGAGAGAGGTGTTGTAATAATGTAAAATATGTGAAAAATACAACCTAGTATGAGAGCCTGTTCTAGTACACCCCCAAAACAAAATCAAGACTTTGTAAAAGAGCATAATAGAACCCTTTTAAATTCTTTAGTAGTGAATACTTATAGACTTTATTCTATATAGGCTTATAGACAAAATTTTCTTACTTGGTTTATTATGCTCATTTTTCATTATAGTCAATTGTAAGTTCTTGTCTTATTTTACTGTTAATTTCAATAATACAGAAATTATGAACTACAAAAAAATGAAGACTCTCAACATGAAATGCTCATTCAAAAGAACAGTTAAATAAGTCTTCAGTTTGTGCTTAGTTAACACTGATCAAAACCAAGATTGGGCTCCAAGTGTTTCTGTGGGTGTGTGTTCCATTTTGTGTCTAAGTGTGTGTGTGTGAGCGGCTTGAGACAGGTGCTACTCCCACACACCGTTTCCTGATCAGATAGAGCTTTAAGGGGGAAACAAACACACAGATACACTGCATGAACTCCATTATGGCAACTGTAATAATGGCACGCACACACCTGCTAATCTACTGTTTGTTGATCCATTAATTTTTCGTGACACACGCACACTGCACTACCTCAGCAAATACAAATACAAGGATTCCCACTTGTGCACAAACACATAGGTGCTTCATGCGTAGTAGTTGGGAATTTCCCTGATTCGAATGTAAATCGACTCTTCTGCTTCAACCACAAGCAACACAAAAACATTAAAAAAAAATCACTTCATAACAAATATATTCTTAGTCTGTAACAATAAAGTAGTCGTTTAAAAAAAAAATAAATTAGATAAACAATTTTAAATAAATCAATAGTACACCTTTAAATGTTTAGATGTCCAGCGTAGAGCGTTATTTCGACACTGACAGAAAAAGTACATAGAGATTAAGAATAACAATGAATCCATCTTTTGTTTTAGTCTTAAAAAGTGAAATATGTATAGATGTAGTAAGCAAATCAGACAATTATCTTTTCTTGTAAAACACCAAGATCGCGAATTCGAAAGTGAAAGCACCCAAAGCCCAGCTTATAACATAACGGGAAACTCACAAAATTTAAATCACAAATAATACTGATGAAAAAGAAGGGGTTGAATGTTAAACACTTTCGTTTTCATATAACTATAAACTATGATAAAAGTCCATCAGCATGCATTGATTAATCCCTAAAAATAAAAATATTGCGACCAAATCATGTTCTGGTGTGACCAACTGAGAAAGTTAGTCGCAAAAGAGCAACCAGTGGGAAGAATGAGTCTGGAGCCCTGAAGCATAAAACAAAAGTTTTATTACATTAGATATTTGACATTTACATTAGATATTTGAACATGCTATTAGATAAACTGTTGTCAGTCATGTTGTCATTTAAAATCTGGACATCATTGGCAATGTTATTGGTTTAGTTATGCAAACAAAAACTCATTTTATTTGTTGTTTGTTGATTTTAAATGTAAAACTTGGTGAAATGATTTGTGTGTCGGTACTTTTTGAACATTTCCAGCACATTTTAACAATACCGTGATAATACTGATAACCGTGATCATTTTGGTCACTATAATCGCGATAAGAAATTTTCATACCGTTACATCCCTAGTCCTTGGTGAATAAAAGTATTCATTTCTTAAGTCAAACAAATAAATAAATAAATAATGACCCCAAACTTTTGCATGTTATTGAATATCATTAATATCATCCATATTGTAGGCATATTTAAAGAACTAGTTATAACATAATTATTTAATACACAGTTTTATATATAGTTTTACATTATTACAATACATTTACAATGACAGTTCAATAATTCTACGATTTTTTATTGTCTTTTATGTATTTATTTTTTTACATTGTTTCACTCAAAAAATGACAGCATTATTTAATTTTAATTCAACAGCAAGAGAGTGAGTAAATGAGAATTTTTGTGTTTGCATGTGTGTGTGTGTGTGGGGGGGGGTAATTCGTTTTTTAAATGTTTAATTGTGGCATAAAATAAATGGTAAGATATAGGAGGAACTGTATTTCATTGTTTATTTATGCACATTTCTTGCCTCATTTTACTGGAAATGAAATGGTAATCATGGTTAGTTTAACATGTGCCAATAAAGGGTTGTGAACACTGAAAAAATGTAGGAAAACAAATTTTAGTTGGTCATCCAACAGAAAATCTGCATACTGTGCACAGGAAACATACTGTATACTACAGAAATAGCAGTTTGAGCATTATCATTATCATTATTAGCATTATCACGTCACTGCTGTATCCTCTGAATATGACCGCCATCAGATCACTCAGAAGTGAGGATGTGCTGACAGTTTTCTGCCCTGCTGTTCAAGCAAAACAGGAAACAGTGCCTCCAAATTTAGATGCAGTTTAGCTGTAAATATCTGAGAACTTTATTAGTTTTCTGCTCTGATGTGATTCCGTAGAATTTTTTTAAGCTTTATTTCATACTTTACACTGGTACACATGCCTGCTAATTTACTGTTTGACAATCCATTAAATTTTATGTGATACACAAGCACACTTCTTCAGCAAATATATACATAAGGGTTTCCACTCATGTACAAATGCACAGGTGCTTCATGCAGTAGTTGGGAATTTCCCTGCTTTGAATGTAAATTGACTCTTCTACTTTAACAACATGCAACAGAAATGTAACAGTGAAGTTCAAAATGACCATGTTCATCAACTACACAAGGGACAACATGCAGGGGTTATTTTACGATAATGACCATATGACTGCATTGCTTTGCAGCCGGAAATGAAGACGGACAGTTTTTGTTTTATCTAGCTGTATTTACTCAGTGCAACTTATAACATCCAAGTGAAAGATATAACACCAACATGTCAGAAAAAAAAAAAAAACCAGAATCACCCCCTCAATCAGGTGTAGCTAATCACCTTCTCAATGGCACACAAAGCCATTTGACTTTCAACTGTGATCAGCTGTGGT